GAATGGTGACAACGCCCAAAATCGTCAGAAAGTGTCATATCTAGGGCTTGCTGCAATTTACGTTTTGTTGAGGGCGTGATCGTCCATTTGTGATCCCATGTTTGGCGAGACTGAGGATTTGCACCCACCGTTGGCGATTTACCTGCCCATCGGCGTAGGTGGTCACCAACTGCTCGGCTGCATGGGTGACACCATCCTCATCATAATGGGCACTGCCCATTATGATGGAGTTCAGTGTCACCCATGCAGCCGAGCAGTTGGTGACCACCTACGCCGATGGGCAGGTAAATCGCCAACGGTGGGTGCAAATCCTCAGTCTCGCCAAACATGGGATCACAAATGGACGATCACGCCCTCAACAAAACGTAAATTGCAGCAAGCCCTAGATATGACACTTTCTGACGATTTTGGGCGTTGTCACCATTCTTCTGTCCCACCTCATCATGACTCTCTGATTGGGCACTGTGATTCATCCTCGAATGGTTATGGGATCGTTCTCCACTCGACTTCTTCCACGAGCTGTTCGGGATGGAGCGATCTGTCTACAGATGACAAATTACTGCTGGAAGGGCATGCTTGTGCTTATGATCTCGCACTTCAAAAGGCTCATATCAATCGAAAAGAATACCTCGCTGTCCTGAAGTGCCTTAATCTACTGGTCAAATGGGTCGGATGGTTCCCTGCTTCCCGTCAGCAAATACGTCAGGTTGTCATTTTCTGTGATAACTCGAGTGCAGTGGCATGGTCCCAGACTGATAAACTCAACGGGAGTATCTACGACCAGGCTGCCATTGCAAGAGCTACAGATGCCCTCAACCAGCACCGGCATCATCTGCAAGTTGACTGTAACATCTCCTTGGAGATACGGCATATAAAGGGTCTTCGTAACCTTTTTGCGGACCATCTATCCCGCCTGCCTGCCATCCTGCCTGACTTGCCTCCTTTGGGGGGAGATGAGCAGGAAAAGGGGCATTCAGCTAGATGCTCAGGGCAGGCTGCAGTAGTATTGTGTGCGCTTGATGAACAGCTCTGCATCGAGAGATTTGGCCATGGCACTCATCATGCATATCGTCCCTGCTCAACTACCTCTGCAAGTGACCCAATGCCTACTGAGCCGGATGCAGAGCTTGGTCGACCCATGACTATGGTTGATCCTCCGGCTGTAGGAGTTTCCTTCGTAACGAGGTCAGGAGGAACTGAGCAGGGGGGACGACGGGCCCAGTTCGATGACACCACAGATTTGGCCAATATGGAACCAAAGGATATCTTAGAACTGGAGAGTAATGCCTTGAAGGACCTAGAGTTTTGTGAAACTCACGAGGTTTGTGGCATTCGACTCGGAGACCTCGTCCTTGCACTCCAAGGAAGGCTTGCCAAGAAGCCGCAGAATGAGAGTGCCTATGCTTTGGCCAGAGGAGGTGCGCATGGTCCTTACTTCCGGCTGAGCGAGGTGGGTAGTGTTTTAGAACACCAGGATCCCAGCGTTCACGAGGGCTGGAAGGTTTATCTGAACACAACGAGGGCGCGGGAATGGGCGCTGTACCGTAGCCATTCCCATCCGTTGCTAGCTGCCCACCAGGGTGCTCCCCGAGCCTGGGAAGCATTATGGAAGGCAGGATATGTCTGGGACACAATGGTGGCTGATGTTCGCAGGGGTGTATCTACCTGTCATGAATGCCAGATGGGCAAACCCTTCGCAAAGGAACCTGCTCAACCACTGGTACGCAAGAGGAACTCGGGCAGGTTCACCAATGTCCAGATCGACTTTCTGACCAAACCAAATGATGTCAAGTTGGGGGGACCTCCCGAGTTGAGCCCTGGAGGATGGCAGTACCTATGTGTTCTGATGGATGAGGGGACTCGTGTCGCGCTTGCTGTGCCATCGTTCTCCACAAGCACAAGGGACGTGATTCAGGCGTTACTCCAGTGGTGTGCTTGCTATGGAATCCCTTCAGTCCTCCAGATGGATATGGCCGGGGCTCACCAGTCACAAGAGCTTGCAATGTTCCTCAGGATGATGGGCATCTCTTTGAGACCGGGAGTACCGAGAAGGCCCCAGAGTCAGGGGATGATTGAACGGCTCATTCGTGATGTCAAATCCGCCATCCACACTGCCCAAGCAGATAGGCGAGGGTACACTACTCCCTGGTGGGCTGCTGCACTAGTAGCCATCATGGTGCATAACCACTCTACTTTGTATGACACCCACTTATCTCCCCATGAATTGGCTACGGGCGCACCCTCCACAGGGTTAGTATCATTACCCTCATGTCCTCAAGACACTGATGACGGGCCTCAGACTTCGGACATTAATGACCCTACGAAGCTCTGGTATCGCCTGCATGAGTGGATAGGTTCAGCTTACTCACTTCTTACTCATGTACGGAATGAGAGGCAATGTTGCATCTTGCCGTACGCTAAACATTTTCCAGGAGGGGGATAAAGTTCGCCTTTACAGAACAGTTGATGGACATAGGCGCATTGAGGGCCCTTTCGAAGTGGCCAGACGTGATCCTAACAACTGTTATTTGTATTTTCTAAGAGGCAGGAAGTTCCCCGCTCCTCTCTCTCACCTTTTACCTTTTCATGAGGATGACGTTGAGAAGAAAAGAGAAGAAGAGACTGGCCCTCATCGAGCACATTTATCCTCCATCCTCCGCGGCAAGATGCCTCAGGGTATCGCCCTGGGCGACCTAGCTGGTGGCGAGTGGATGGTCATCCGCCGCTCAACAAAGACCGACGGAGGAACGACTACTTGCTATCTTGCTGAATTTAAGAAGAAGGTGGAAGATAAATTCCTGGTTGACTGCCTTGATCAAACTTCCTCGGGTAGATGGATTATCCCTAGGTCCAGGGATACTGATCAAGTAGTCAGTCCTGAGCACATTCTAGGCGAGCAAGGTTTCTACCCAACGAGGACGAGGCGTATCCCGTCTCGTGTTGCAGAGTGGCTGGAGTCTCACGGTATTAGCCATGTTCGCCACTAAGGGGGGATGTGCGACTGACGGCAGCCTCCTGTCAGCGCAAAGTTAGTGACGAACAGTTTTTCGCTACGCCATTAGCTTGATCGATAGACGATTCGATGGCGTCACGTTTTGTTCATCTCTTATCTCTTTTCGCTAACCCATCTCTCCTTATGTCGAGTTCTCCCAGTGAGCAGGCTAACTTACAATTGGGTGACTAAAAACAAAAGGTTGTCAAGGGTTGACTGGCGTCGTCGACGACGTCGACGACTCGTCGACTCGACATGGCCGACCACTGTGTCCTTATAAAGACATGTGACAAAAATGATTGTCGAGGGATTTGACAGTTCGGTTGAGAGTCGTGGTCACTAACGTACTGAGCTAATAGTTCATCTCTTGTGCGAAGAACCGTTTCGTCAAAAATAAGCGGGCAAAGCAGCATCCCCACTTCCGCTATATTTTTACGCTGATGAGCAGTCAACGGGGGACAGAATGATATCCTGTTTGTCTTCAGAATCGCCCTGGTCGGGTCAGAATTTCTGCTCACGCACGGTCGGACGGACGGATGGACGGACGGACGCACGCACACGAGTGTTCGTGCGCAGTAACATAAGCTCCGCTCGCTCCGCAATATAGTGTACACCTGCTGCAGGTGTGGTAATTCCAGGTGCGGATCATACTATGAGTCATGGCTAAATGGCCCAGGCTACTTCTGTTTGGCGAATCGAGTCGGACGAATCGATTTGTTTCGTGCCAACTGACTCTGACTTCCGGATGCAAGCCACTAGGCATCATATGCCGCAGACTACCGATTCCATAAGGACTGAGTATTCTCGAGTATTGTACAGATGTTTGCGGATTAACCTCTGAAGACGGAATGTGCGCGGATGTTTGGCTCAACGTGGGGTTGCGTCGAAACCCACCTTGAAAACAATGATCGAGGAAATTCATCCGAATGATATGGAGTACCCTGTGGTGCAATTCATCATCTCATCATTACTGTTTCAACTCACAGAAGCTATAGAATTAAGATATACGAGAAAGGAGAGAGGAAGCTCACCTTAGACGCAGGGGCAAGTTGATGTCCGTCAAGTGTTGACTGCCCATTGCTCGGTCTCGCCTCTGTAGTAGAAAAGTCACCTCTGTAGTAAAAGTCACTCCACATGTCCAGTAGAGCCTCGCTGGCCTGCCTCACTGGTGTGACATAATCTAATATTATTCCAGTCGCTCTGCTGGCCAGAGTTCCCCTTTGTCCCTGATTGATATCGCCTGGGGCAACCTCCTTGATGAGTCGATAAAATAGCATACAGATGGCCGTCAATCTCTGACAAAATCTCAATCACTGTCGATTTTAGCTGTCGTTGAGCTGCACTGTATCGAGCCTCCACCTCAGACACTTGGTTCTCAAACGCTGACACTCTACCTTCCGCACGAGTCAGCAAGAATGATTCATTCCTGTCCGTACGCACATCCGGAGTCCGGGAACGAGTGGGGTTGTCATAGGCAGTGTGATGAGACTTCATTGGACCATCCTGATATGCCTTTCCATTGGTGTTCTTGATAGTTTCTGCTTGGATGAGACGCTCCATCGATGGAGACATCCCTGACCTCATTCCAACCGTATATGCTGCTCCACCAGATATGGCAGTACGATCGGTAAACCAGAGATAAGACGAGATAAGGGTAGGAATCATTCCCAGGGAATGGGTTAAGACGTGACCAAACGCAACGTTGAGCTCGCATTACCAGTTAACGCGGATGATTAATGAGGGCGTGAGAAAAACTATATCAGGCTTCGAACGCTCGATGATCGAAGCGAGGTTCTCCAGCGTTGGCGGTTGTCTTCACTGTGCTGAGCTGTTCAGTCTGAACACCATGGGGCCGATACGATGGCTGAATATACAACTATGTGTCGGCCCATGAATATTTCAGCTGAGGCACTCTCAAGTTACACCAGTAATACGTGTGGAACAGTTATGCGCGAGTGTTAACACGCGTTAAAGCATGGGGGATGATTTGGAAACCAAGATTGCAGCTTGGTAGAACTCTCGGCCAGTTCAATGAGAAACATAGTAGGACTCTCATTCGGTAAGGGGAACGAGGAACTCCCTTCACTAATACGGTCAACTAGTGTTGAAATTGAAGTTCTTATTATCGCTCCTTGTCGAAATTGAAGTTCCTAAAAGTCTCTTTAATTCTATTTTACCCGCCCGTCCAAATAGGAATTACGATTTTTGAAACAGGCGCTGGAAAAGTATAGAAGCTATGGATACTCGATCCGTTATCCCACAAGATAAACATAATTCGATAATATTTGGACGCACTGGTGCAACACAACAATGAAAGATGGGAGGGTCAATGAATGATTGAAAAACGGAAGAGATTAATGACTGATTGCTATGTGAAATAAGCAATTCGCGCATGTGCCGATACGCTGCGTATCGGCACATGATATAGGGATGCGTGTCATACGCATCCCTATAGTCTATTTTATTTCACTCTCGAAGAGTGTTCCTACTTGAGTTCACTAATACCTATCTTACTATTCTTCCAATCATACAAAAAATAACGTCCAATGAGGCTAGGGAGTCCAATACCCCATACAGGATAATCAGTCACATTAAGAAGTACGCGACAATAAGCTCGCCCTTGAGCATCCGTTCTAATATCCACATATGCATCAGAGGGGATCTTCACCTTGACGTCTGGACCATCTAGACCCTTTAGAAGAAATTCTATCGGTGGAAGGTGTTGTCGTTGATTACAATTGACGATAAGCTTAGAACCCCTTTGGGTAATCGTCACCTTACTGCTTGATCGAGCCTCAAGATCTTTGATGAGGGTAGGAAGAGTATACCTGTGCATAGGTATGAATATGCACTCTGCTCCAGTATCAAGGATACCATCATCATTCACAGCCATTACAGGATACGCGCTACCTCCAAGGGAGAAGCCAGTAACTCGGACAAACTTGTCTTCAGTAGTAACCGCTACATAGACCAACGGACTCTTATACATACTAGGATCCGATCCACCGAGAAGGAGCTCCCCTCTTCCATTAGTCCCATCATGCCTGAGGTAGATCGAGAAGATACTACTCTCGATAAGCTTCTGTGAGAGAAGTTGTTCTATTATCGGAACATATGATGATTTTGGATCATCTTGTGGTGCCAATCCGAAACTGGCATGAGGGACTGGCACATCGGGAGCGCACTTGTATTCAGCAACCAGACCGAATGAAATAGTGGCACTGACAGCTGAGCCGAAATGGGCCGTTGCAGATTCCTTGAAGATCCTTACTATGGATCCATCTCCGAAATGTAGTATATAAAGTTTTCCCTCCCTGCAAGGCTCAGGGCTGCATTCATAACAACCGAATATGATGTCCTTGCACCTCCCTGGATGACCCTTCTCATACCAATGCTTCCAGAGGAAGAACGTCTCGGGGGCGCCGGTGTCAATAAGACCATAGACATTTTGGCTACCGAGTGTTACTTTTCCAACTAGAAAATACACATCAGCCTCTTTCGTCACCTTTTCATATGATATAGGAAC